TCAATTTTCACTGGTTGTACCACGCCGATCTGAGCTCGGTTCAGTTGAACTCGACTATTCAATTTTTTCCTAGGGTTGGTACTTCCCAATGTCGGTAAAATGTGGTATATTTGGTTTTCTTTGATTGGCAACTATGTTTGTCAGTCCAGCATATTTGAACTGAACCACATCTACATCGTCTGATACTGAATTGATTGAAGCATAAGCATTAAAATATATTTTTCTTTAGTTTAGTAGATTCAGTGAAACCTTTTCATTATGGAAGCCATTACGAAATCTGCCCGGTCAACGAATTTTACGTCGAAAAAAGAAAATATTTTGCTGGATTTAGTCAAAAAGCATAAAGCACATATCGAGTGTAAAAAAACAGATGCAAACCATAATAAAATATATTTTTTTTATTTTCTCTTCTACGATCTTCGTAACTTCTTTCGATAATCTAAATCTAAATTTAAAATTGCGGTCGTTCCAATGCAGGAAATGATTTGGTCGCTCCCTATATGTATGTTGGTGATCTTGTATTTAAAAATGTTCCTAGTAGCTCCAGAACGTCTTCATTGTCTGTTAGTTCACCCAATAGGTCCATTTTCAGAAAAAATATATTTCTAATATTTATAAACACCTATGTTATGTGAACATAAAATTAACACCGTCAACACCTTTAGGTTATAAAATGACTCGGCACTGAACCACGGTTGAACGGCCGATTGCAGTCGTTCAGCTGAACTGGGATTTGATCTGCCTAGTGTTGTGTAGTTCGCGAACGAACTAGTTCAAAAGATCGAATCAGGGAACTGAACTGGACGATCGAATCTTCTAAATTGAAAGAACGAATCAGTAGGAACCAAACAGAACATGTCATTTCATCTCACTCTTGAAGGAGAACGAGACCGATGATGCCGATTGAAGTGATTGAATGAATAGTGCTTCTCTGTACTACCACACGGTTTCTTTTAGTTGGCGTTGCCGACTTTGCAGTTCATAGGTAACGATGAAAATTGATAATCCTTGTTGTTCTATAGTCTCAGATGTGTTCTTTCTTCGGTTATTTGGTAAAAAAGCATAATATGAAGCGACAACGCACGCGATTTAATTGATTCTAACTGATTTTGGCCGTGATTCTATATTAGGAATATGCAAAAGTGAAAAAAAAATGGGGGGGTTTTGATTGGTGAACAAAACAATATCACGAAGACGACTGCTCAAAAAAAGTCAGAGCTTACAAACAACTGAAACGTCCGGTGCTGACCTCTGGATCACCTGCCTGGTCTACGGCTAGCACTGTGCAGAAAAACAAGTTGGCAGTTAGCAAAACTAGATCCCGAGGATAGCAGCAAAGGCTCCCTCTATGCCATGAACGCCACCTTAAGGCCAGACCTGAAAGCAGACGACCTGCTGGATCACATCAGGAACTTAACGTCAAAATTCCTGGACAGGGTCCGGCAATGCAAGAATTGCACAAAGGATTCTTGCACAAAGAAGTTTGACTGTTACCGTAGACCTTTCCCTGCTGACATAGTCTGAGAAGAAGACGTGAGCCACATGCGATGACCAGTTTCTACCCCTCATCGAGTACAATGGGCTAGCTATGAGTTAGTTTATAGGAATCAAGAGAGGCTGTATTAGGTTAAGATAAGATCAGGATTATGTTAAGGTAGATTAAGTCATTCTAGCATCCTGAAGGTCCGTGGTCCGAAGGTCGAATCCCCAGCCGTGCACATACAGATCAAAAAGAATCGAGCTGGCAAAATTGCACCGAAGGAGAAGAGCCAAAAAAAGAAAATATTAAGTATTAAGGTGTAATGCTTGTTTGGAAAATAAATTTGTTTACATATGTCGCTAATTTTAGGCTGAAACCAGCTGATGAGAGCTAAGAGGCTCGAAACCGGTTCTGGAGTTGCCTGAGGTTGGGGCATTTCGAAATCTGCACTTGCCTATTTCATTTCCATGTTTTTGTACTCGCTGCTTCCGATATCTCTTT